TATATATATATAATAGAACTTCCGCAATAGGAGATAATTCATAATAATTAAAGTATTTACCAACAAAGTTGTAAACGTTTCAACTCTGAATTTGAGTCCTCTTCAGTGCGGAAATCAAGTATAAATAACTACAATTATTATAAATAGTATTGTTATATTATTTATGTATTAATGATATGGAGGCTTATAAACAATTTATTTATATTTGATTTATTCTTGGAGTCTCAGAAAACTATTTTTATTTTGTAAATAGATATCTTTTTGAGATTATTAAATTTGTTTAATTATCTGATTGGGAAGCATTACGATTATAATTAGAATTAAATCAAAATTACTTTTCTAAGAATAGCATTAGAGTTGAATTAAAAAAAAAAATATCAGTTTCATTCGTTATTTATCTATTATCTTTTACCTATTATTAATAAGTACTTCAATGGAGCAGTTTTTAAACGAAAAGAGAAGAGAATGCTGGTCACTGCTAAAATACTATCACTGATACAGTATCGATGATAATTAATAATAATTGCGTATCGCTCGAGTAATCGAGCGTCCATTAGCGCCATTACGCTCATCGTCACGTTACCACCCTTCGCGCCGCATGTTCTCGCTTCCGCTTCATTAACTTTATTATCATCACGTCGTAATGTATTATTATGTATTACACGACGCTTTACGTGTTCGGATAATACGAGGAGCGAGGGAAATAAGTCATATCGGGATGTGCTTTAATGCACGTAAGACATCTCGGATTTTAAGACCGTGTTAGGCGTCCGCAAGTCTCACATATCAGTTAAATGACACCATAGGACAAATGAGGATCATCAATGGCGTCTGGCAACTTTACGCTTCCCGAGAGCCCATATTCCCATCCCTAATTTGCACCGTTGCAACGAAGAATCTTTGAGAGATATAGGTTCAAGTCTTCACATTCCTCGAATTCTTATTTACCAAAATTTTTTTGCATATGGATAAAAAAATGTTACATGATAATATTGGAAATACCCGGCCTTTTTTATTTAAATATTTGGATATATATATAAAAAGATTATTTTTGGATTTTCTGGAATTGAAACTGGACATATAGAATGACATCTGGTAATTTTACATTTTCCGAAAGCCATTATTATCGTATGCGGATAACGGACATCTATATCATCATTTCTACTTTATATCATTGCATTGCAATGAAAGAGAAGTATAGATTCTGAGTTTTCGCATTTTTCGAACTTCTATTTGCCAGAAAATTTTTTATCTGAACCAGAAATGTAATATTGAAAATATCAGGATTTTTGTTTTAATTTCTACATACACATGTAACAAGATTATTTTAGGATTTTTTAAATTTAAACTGAATGTACAGAATTTGCAATAAATTATTTGCGTTTAATATTAATGAATGACAGGAAATAAAATATATTTAGGAAAAGCATTCAATTAATATTTAACTATTCAGGCTAAATATTTGTAACAAATTTATATCATACAATTTAATCGAATTTTAATGTTTAACGTTATTATATAATTGTAAACTTTATTTCGAAAATAATGGTTTTTAAAAATCATATCTGCTTCATTTGTTTACTTGGATTGTTTTATTTAAATAAAATAAGAAAATCTAAGAGATCCATCTAAGAAATTCCAGATGAGGGCACAAAATTTAAAGAAATATTTTCATTCTAATTTGTTTTTTTTTATTTAAGGTTTCTTGGATGAGAAGTAAGGACCTCCATATTCTTACTTCGGGAAATTTTTCGTTCAGCTCAGATGCGCGATTCGGACCCCAGCACACTCCAGGCAGCGACGCTTGGACTCTCAGGTTGGATAACGCCAGGAAGACGGATTCTGGGAAATACGAGTGCCAGGTCAATACGGAACCGAAGATCATGTATGCAGTGCAGCTCTCTGTGCGAGGTGAATGTCGTTCCACTTTACATTTCGTCCTTCATGTCTGCTTCCCCATACGACGATTTACGATAGAAAGATTTTTGTTTTTATACAAATAAAAATCACAATTTTTTTATTTAAACTTTACGAAAATACGATTAAATGTTTCTATAATAATGCATTTACGTAAAATTATAGCATAAAGGTACATCCGATATATTATCATTTAGTAAGGCTGTAACAACGATATATTGCAGAAACAAAGTTTTCCAGGAAATAAATTTAAATGTTTTGAATTATTAAAATTTTCAAATATTAATTTAAAAATGCAATTTTGGTATAATAATTGATTGTATAGAAATAAAAATATATTCTTTTTGAAATATATTTTTTTTATTTTTCCTTATGTTCTCGTATTTTTGTAAACAAAAAAATTTTTGAATTATATCATTGTAGCAAATGAATGACATATAATTCATTCAAAGAACGAAATGACTTGTCTTTTATAGACATACTGTATAAAATAATACAAATAAGTTGACAAAATAATTTTATCATATTAGAATTCACGATTGATTTTTTTTTTTTGCTTTGTACTGACACAATAATATTTCATCATTAAAAACTTTTGTGTTTCTAGATCCAGACAAACCAGAGGGCTATGACGAGCCATATTCTCAGCAGACACGTATAAGTAAGTATATATATCCCGTGGACGTGACGTGTATTTCTGGCTTGCGCGTTTGTGACATATATGAGCGTGACGCTCCTTTAGTTCCAGCCCACGCCGATCAAATCAGTCGTATATTTAAAGACATGACTGTGAACAGACCGTCGGTATAATAGCGATAAAAATTTCAAAAGGTAAATTAAACTTTGTGAACTATAGAACATCGTGCGCATTCAGGCGTTTTACTGTAATAGCTTCACTTCTGTAGCAAACGAAAGAACGATAGAAATACGGTTTATTTGATTGAAAGTATTGAAAGTATAACGTAGAAATATCTAAAATAATTTTTTGATTTTTATAAAATATACATTATTATAATAAAAAATGAATTATTTCTCAAATTTTTGTATACACAATCGTTATAAATGTAATGACAATTATAATTTTTAAAGCGAACAAGCTCTCCATTTTAATTGTATTTGCTCAAATTTGTCGAATCGCATACATTTTGCTTTAAAAGATTCGCATTGTTATTTAAATCTTTCACATTTTTGAATAATCGAAATTAATTATCGAAATTTATATGATTGCAATACGTGCATATTTGCATTTTGTATGATTCTAATTTCATTGGCGCTAAACTTATTTCACTGTCTGTGATATCAGCGATAATATTTTGCGCAGACTTGCATAATTAATTTTCCGCGTAATCAGCATTAGCCGAATCGGGTGTGCATGATGTATATAAAATGGAGCGCCTGTATCGCGCAGTTTGAAATTATATCATGCAAATTATTTTATGAATTCCTTGATCGGTATGAAACTCGGACAAGCGTACAATTATGCAATCAAAACTTCGTCGAAAGTTTAGCGGACTGTGGATTGGTGCATAAGATGCATTTTTTTTTTCTTCTTTCAAATTTATCCGTTCTGCATTCTATCGGCGTGCGCTTCCATGGATGATGAACGTAATAAAATACGAGCGGAACATCACCGCACAATAAAAAAAATTTACTGTATAAATCTGTAAAATTCCCTCGGGTGCAAAGATTGACCTAGTTACCCAGAGATTTAAAAATATAACTTTCATCGCCAACGACTGGCAATTTCCGCTTTGTTTCGCCACTCGGAAAGTAGCGGAACCGAAAGCACTGGTTGAATAGTCGTTAAGATTGCATCAGTTGGAAAAAGCGCGATTAATCAGCCGCGAGGTACAGTGAGCTAAGCTTACTGATAATTATCAAGCAAAGAAAGCGCAGGTTCTTGTAATACAATCATTACAAATGTAAGCCATCCACTGTAAAGTATCACTGTTGCCATTAATTCTGTTTTTAGTATTTTACTGTAATGTTTTATATGCAACGATGTAAATAATATGATTAATTAGTTATTAAAAATTTTCAAACATTTTATTTACGAGTTATTAAATTATTTATATCTGCAGGTATTTTAGAAACATTAAAATATGTTTTCTTACTATTTTCATTATTTGCCTACAAACGGTGATGCATAAATTTTAAGTGACATATCTTTCTATTATTATTTTATATAAATTAATAATATGTTGCCTCATGCCTCTTTTATATCTACATTATTTATCTTATTTTTTTCATAAGTTATTATTTATTTTTATGAAAATCACAAATTCAGAAACATGTATGAAATTGATCATGTCGGATTTATTAAAATTTACATTAATCGTGCCTACATTGGGAATATAAAATCTATGAATCAGACACAATAATCAATAAAGTAGACGGAAGATTAGGTTGGGCTTTTACAAGCGTAACATTACAACGTATGCACGATACCTGTTTACCGCTTTAGATGGTCGTTGGCAAACTTTTGGGCGAGTAAACAGCGCTATTTCTGTTGTTCTCTGTAATACTCTGTGAAACTCTAGGGGGTGCATTATATGAAAGTTTATTATCAGATCTGCATAGCGTATACGTATGTAACTGGCAAAGTGCTTCGATCGTTTCTAATTCGCAAATCACCAATATTCGGTATTTAAAGACAATAGTTCCTCATTGATCCAAGAACTTCTATCGATTATCATAGGTTTAATATTATTTCTAGTTTTATTAGAGCTATTCTTTTACGAAATATAAAATTTATTATAAGATAAACATAGTAGATACATTAACGATGAAAATGAAAAAGTAGAATTTATTTATTAATAAAATCTCGCTTTCAAGATGTAGCGAATTGAGCGCCCATGTCAATAATGTATCACATTTTTCATAAATATATTAATAATCCGACACGTTCTCGTCATAGTACATCGAATATCCTTTAAAAAATCATTAGAAGCCTCTTTTTATTTTTCTCGTAGAATCGAGCGACATCAATCACTTAAGGATAAGTGCGACACCATCCTGGCTTTGACGCCCGTGATCCGTCGTCGTCGATTCTTCTTGCGAACTTTCTTTAGTCGCTTCATAATTCTTTTTAAGTAACGTCGTTTTATTTCAGACACGTCGTCCTCTCTCTTGACGCCTTCGATGTTCCAGAGTCTACGCTTTTTCATTTACGTCGGAACGGCAGATTACGAGAAGCTGCGTTCCTTCGATATCAAGGAGCTTATTTTTGATACTGTCGCTCAAAATCATTGACAAAAACTCACAAAAACAAGACCCATATCGGTGATAATATATTCCTTGATTTTATTATGATTTTTTTCAGCGTTTTTAAGTGTAAAGCTTCTTACTGTCCTCAAAATATGGAACGTGTGAAAAATAAATTTAATTATTGACATTATCCTTTATTTTTGAAATACTATCTTATTTTTTGACCTATTTTGTGGTACTATCAACTTAATGGCGAAGTTGCGACCGTGAATATTTCTTTTCATATCACGACGTGTTTCCGCTCAGAACACTCTCCATGCAGTTTCACCGGACTAATAAATATACTCGCGCCAAGTTTCTTCTTTCGCTTTTGTTCACAATATATGCGAGACTTAAAGATAGTCACAGATCGCTGCCAGCTATATTGTCGAAGTTTTGTAACAGATAAATAAGGAGAACAAAGAAAATGGAAGTACAACGCGCCACGAATATGCGAATAATAATGTTACATAATGGCACAGTAAATTTTTTCTCCGTGCAATCGTAGTTTATA